ACACACACACACACACACACACACAGACACATATATATACATATATATATGTGTGTGTGTGTGTGTGTGTGTGTGTGTGTATATATAGTGTTAGTAATAGGTAGTATGAGCTATCATTAGAATATAAGTTCTAGTGATAGCTATTATTTACAAAATAGTAATTATGTGCCAAGGACTCTTTTAAGTGCTTTACCCTAAGTCATTTAAACTTCCACATCATGGTGTGTACAATTTTTTGTCTCCATCTTACTGATAATGAAATTGAGGCAGAAGAAGGTTTAGTAATTAATCTAAAGTCACAGCGTGTAAGTAGAGGAGCCAAGAATTTAACCCAGGTGATTTGGCTCCAAAGGTCATACTCTTAACCAGCGTGCTACTCTGTTGAATTTCCCTCTTCCTGCTTCGTAACACCCAAGGATATAATTTATATATTTTCAGCGTTAATGCAGTGCTTTGTGAGGTCATGCCGTGGTGACTGGTCATGTAGTTTCAAGATACCAATATCATGTATATGTGGTACCAGTATTGGGTTTCTAGAACTCAGCATTCAAAATTAAAGAAAAATAAAATCATATACCAGAAGTGCTTATAACAAGACATGCTTAACAGCTGAAAGGTTAAATGGAGAATCGTTTCCTGAGGAGACAATATCCTCCTTTTATATGGTACTGATGGATCTTTCTGATAAATCCTGAGTCACTTTGAGGAGTTGTAACTGTGGCCCATTCTTTGAAATAGCCTGGGGTTTAGATTTTGGTTAATGGCTATCTGTTACTGCAAAAGGTGGTCTTCAATAACATAGTCATATTAAAAAGTTTCCTAAAAGCAAGGCTCTTCTCCATATTAAGTCTCACTGTGGACAGTGCCTTAAGAAAAAAAGCAGTGTTTTCAAGGTACAGAAGGATGCTGAATTAGCTAACCAGGTTCTCCCAGTCTGGTGTAAAATGTTTTTATCAAGAACCAGTGCCATGAGTGCTAAGAACCAGTACATGAGGTAGGAGTCACTATGCCAAACCATTGAGTATTTACTAATAAGTTTATGGCAGTATTTTGGCATAGTTCTTTTTGTAAACAAGGAAGCAAGTGTTCTGAAAATATTTTAGATGTAATGTTTCCCCACCAAACTTTTAAGGAAACATATTTAATGGAACATGACTTTAATAGAAATCAGGTATGTGTTCTACTTAATGGTGAGTATAAACAGAACCAATATGTGGGGTTTGTGTGTGTGTGTGTGTGTGTGTGTGTGTGTGTGTGTGTGTGTCTGTGTGTGTGTGTGTTTAACACACTGATTGAGACCGTGTTAAGCCCAAGTATATTGGATTGGAGGAAGGGAAGCTATATAATGAGAAAAGTTACAGTTTACTGCTTATTTTTACAATGTCAGTAAACCCCCAAATTAGAGTGTATCTGATTGTGTTGCCATCATTCACATGCAGAAAATCACCAGTATTTTGTTCAGTGTTTTTTTTTTTCACTTACACTCTGTGTTTAGACCAAGTAAAGATATTTAATATTGCTTTCTTACAGGAAACGAAGACTATTATGTTTCTGATAGATTCCATATTCTTACCAAACTGTGATACCATTGAGTTCTAAGTTGAGGTATTTGGTGAGGGAGTATATTATTACTAGCAAAGATGCAAATCCCAATTCAAGAAGAAAGACTGGTGCCGCACATCCTTTTCCCTAACCGTATACAAGTTACCAAGCAGTGGCTGAGTCTGCATGTATCAACAGTAAAAAGGAAAACGCATCTCTTCCTTTTCTGAGTGTTCTCTTTGACTGATGAAGTGTAGACCTGAGACCCAAAGAATAGACTCTGGTCCTTGGCTTGCCACAGAATACTGCTGCATCACACACAGCCTTCTCTTTCTTCAACTGTAAAATAATGTCCAAGAAAACGTTAAGCCCTCACAGTCCAAGGTACAGACATATGCCTTGTTTATCTTTCTGTTTCTAGTGTCAAATACATGGAGGATTCTCAGTGTACATGTGTGTTGGACTTTGGAATGCGAGACGCATATTAGTCTGAGAAAAGCTCTAGAATTTCTCAGCAATTTACCCACCTTTTCTGATACGAGCATTCTCTCTGTTCTCCGAAAGAGATCTACCACGTGAAGGTTTGTCTGCTCCAAAGTCTAGTTCACCCCAGGCAAGAAACAGTTAACTGCCCTACTGTGCAGAACAAGCAAAGTTAGTAAAGGAAGACATTTAGGTGTGTCTATTCTTACCTAGAAGAAAAAGGCATGTGTGTGAATGTATTATAATTCCGTTCATTTATTTCTGAGTATCCTGACTCATGGACTGTTGAGACCTGCATTGTCCAATATTATAGCCACTGGCCACGTGTGGTTATTGAGCACTAGAAATGTAATTTGATTGTAACATGTATAATGAGTTCTAAAGAAAGAAATATAAAAAAGAGTGGGGCACCAGGGTGGCTCAGTCGATTGAGTGTCCAACTCTTGATTTCAGGTCAGGTAATGATCTCATGGTTCATGAGATCGAGCCCCGTCTTGGACTCTGCACTGACAGTGTGGAGCCTGCTTGGGATTCTCTCTCCCTCTCTCTCTGCCCCTCCCCCACTTGTTCTCTCCCCCCCCCCACTTTATCTCTCTCTCTCTCTGAAAATAAACTTAAAAAGAAATATAAAAAATAGAATATAAAAGATCTTGCTAATAATTTTAATATTAACTATACATTGAAATAATACTATGGTATATTGGTTTGAGTTAAATACATTATCAAAATTTATTTTCACCTATTTCATTTTAAAGCATGGCTACTAGAAAGTTTAAAACTAGATCTCTGGTTCACATTCTGTTTTCATTGGACGGAGCAGCTCCAGACAGAAGTAAAATTGGATATAGCATTAATGAAATGGTTTGAGGCCCTTGGGAGAAGTTCTTTGAGTTGCACATCATCTCTGGGGTAACAGTATGATTAGGTTTGCCTGGAGCAGTCCTTGTTCTGGCATAATTATTAATAGTGTCCCCACTAACTCTCAGAGGTGTCCATGTATGGATGATAAATTATGTGGCACCCTACATATAGCCCCATAGTCACTTTTATTGTTTGTTCAGTGATAAGAGGAAAGCCTTTCCAGGAAACCATGGGAACACAACCACAACTCTTACATCAGAGCACACTGCAGAGAGGGGTGTTTGTGGCAAGCGCCTGAGCCCAGGGAGTGAAGTATTAGAGACTGTAGATTCTTTCCTATCTCTCAAATTCCATAGTTCTACAACTTCAGCTGTACCATACTTGATGCCTATGATTTAATAAGTGATGATGAATATGGGGCGTATGTGATAATACAGCCTTGGTGCAACTAACATGAAAAATAATTGCTTAAAAAGCTCTGTGTGATTGCATTGCATTTCAGTATCCAAAGGAAAAAAAAAAATCAAAATTTCCATCTCTTAACCAGAGTGTTCACATGTAAGTAATTCACAGATGGCAGAGCCCCAAGTGGGTTATGTTCAATCATTCCCAAGAAATGAAACTTACTTATAACCCACAGCTTAAAAAGCTGTAAGGATGAATATTTGACACATTTGATTATGTTGAAATATTGCCTTTAAAACCACAGTTGATGACTGTTATTTTTACTTGCACTTCATTAGGCTTACTATAGCGGGAAGAACTTTCTTTGATGCCCAGAGATACATGTTTGTGAAAAGTTGGAAAAGTTGCCCTTATTTTCTGACTGGTTAAATTATTACAAATTGGTTATTTAAGATGTGCACTCTCAGAGAAGGTGACATTTTAAAAAGCTTTTGAATTAGAAAAATCAGATCCTCTGCAAGACTCAAATTTTGTGTAGTGAAAAGCCACCAAGTCTCACTATTGGTTACTTAGGGTACCACCAGCTAAACAGCATGGAAACTTGTTCTCTTTCTTTCTCTTTTCATAAACCCATCAGTTAATCAGAATAGTATAATTATTAATGTGCAAATTGTAATGACTGTTTATCTTTCAAAGCAATAGAAAATCCAATTCTACTGACTGCTTTTGAATTAAAGAAAGAGAATCCTGGGGGCAAGAAGTAATAGCGGGAGTTTGCTTATGGGATATCTTACCTCTCTTGCCTTGATTGTAACCTGGTGTTCTTGGCTTAAGGGCATGCCATAAAACCAGGTTCTTAAAATTGATGTTCCTGAATTTGTGGGTGGAAGAGAACTCTAAAACAGATGTGATTTTTTTCTTAATATCCGGTTAACTACTATGGTTGTTTTGTGTTTTAATGACTGTTTATAGTTTCGCATTTAACCCCTAAAGCAAAATGATCCTGCAGGGTGAGTAAATTAAAAAGTGGATTCCTGAAAATTATAATGCTGTGGCTGTTCTCGGATACTAAATGACTTTGTTTGTTCTAAAACTGTTACTTGTCTTGCATCACCAAAATAAATTAAGAAAATATTGGTCTGTCTTTTAAAAGTTTGTATCCATAATATATACGTTTTATTTTTTTTTAAATAACATGGCAATATTGAGGTTATTAAATTGGGAGTCCATGATGAGCTTCAGAGGGTCTGTTAACTCTGGAGTTTTATTCTTTCACCCAATGCACATGCATGTGTGTTTCGTGAAAGAGACTCTATCACTCTTTTTTTTTTTTTTTTTGAGACTATCACCAAATTTTAAAAGGAAAAAAAAATAATCAAGAACTACTTGTTGGCAGGTTTAGGATGAAATAACGTGAGAAAACCATCAATTCTCAGAATATGATGAATGATAGAGATTAAGAAGTGGAGTGGGAATTACCACCTCCCCAATATTAAATAATTAAGGCTGTTTCATGTTATTATCACCTTTCCTATCCAACACATAGGATGTAAATTCAAG